TACTACTACTACTACTACTACTACTGACTACTACTACTACTACACTACTACTACTACTACTACTACTACCACTACTAACTACTACTACTACTGCTACTACTACTACTACCACCACTACTACTACTACTACTACTACTACTACTACTACTACTACTACTACTACTACTACTACTACTACTACTACTACTACTACTACGACTATTACTACCCAAAACGACTATCCCGTCCGCCACCCGTCATGTCATCGATATTGGCTGCTGGGGCTGAGCACGCGCAGAAAGTCTTGTAACATACAATGCGAGTAGGGAGGGGGCGGCGGGAAGGGGGAGCGACGTAGGGAGGAGAGAAGGATGAGGAGGACGATGAGGAGGAGGAAGAGGCCGATGGGGGAGGAGGAGGAGGAGGAGGAGGAGGAGGAGGAGGAGGAGGAGGAGGGGGAGGAGGAAGAGGATGAGGAGGAGAGGGGGAGGAGGAAGGAGTAGGAGGAGGAGGAGGGATGAGGAGGGAGGAGGGAGGGCTCCAAGAAGGCCCCAAGAGGGCCCTAAGAGTGGCCCAGAGAGACCCCAAGAAGGCCCCCAAAGCAGCCCCTTCCGAAACATACAATATGTTTCGGTTGTGTTCCCGCCCCCTTCCAAAACATGAAATATGTTCCGGTTGCTTTTTCCTCTTGCTGCCGTTTCGGGCTCTTTAGGGCCCCTTGTAGGACGCCATTCCACTGGACCCGCCAGCACCCCTTCGAAAGTGGCGGCAGTTTCGCAGATCGCAGCCCCCCCCCCCCCCAGGGATGGCGAGGTCCAATCTGAGCCCCCATCGGACGTCACTCTGCTGGCCCCCCCTGCAGCCCTCTAAAGTTGGCCCTTCTAGGGCTTATAATGGGCGCCAAGAAAAGCCAATAAGGGCCCCAGGAGGGCTCCAAGAAGGCCCCAAGAGGGCCCTAAGAGTGGCCCAGAGAGACCCCAAGAAGGCCCCCAAAGCAGCCCCTTCCGAAAAATCAAATATTGTTCGGTTGTTCTTCCCGCCCCCATCCGAAAGAAAACATATTTGTCGGTTGCTTTTCCCTCTTGCTGCCATTTCGGGCTCTTTTAGGGCCCCCTTGTAGGACGCCAGTCCACTGGACCCACCAGCACCCCTCGAAAGTGGCGGCAGTTTCGCAGATCGCAGCCCCCCCCCCAGGGATGGCGAGGTCCAATCTGAGCCCCCATAGGACGTCAGTCTGTTGGGCCCCCCTGCAGCCCTCGAACGTTGACCCTTCTAGGGCTCATTTGGGCGCCAAGAAAAGTCAATAAGGGCCCCAGGAGGGCTCCAAGAAGGCCCCAAGAGGGCCCTAAGAGTGGCCCAAAGAGACACGAAGAAGGCCCCCAAAGCGCACCCTTCCCCTAAGGATTTTGTTCGGGATTCCTATGGATTCGCAAATATTCCTAAGGATTCCTGACGGAATCCGGAGGAGTCCTGATCCTAAGGATCCTAAGGGATCCCAAGGACACTAAGGAATCCTAAGGATCCTAAGGAGTCCTAAGGAATCATCAGGAACCCTAAGGAATCCGAAGGAATGAAAAGGACTTCTGAAGAAGAAAGAAAGAAATACTTCTGAAGAAGAAAAAAGTACTTCTGAATAAGAAAGAAGTGCTTCTGAAGATCCCATGGTTGTATTTGGTCCCATGTATGGTTGCAATTCGCTCCGAACGGTTGGAATTGGGACCAGTCGGATGTAATTCGTCCCATTTCGGGGGGAAGGGCGGGGGGAGGAGGAGGGAGGGGGATTTAGGGAGAGAGGGAGGAGGAGGAGGGGAGAGAGGCAGGCCGGAGAAACGCGAGGAGCCACAACCACAGATGGCCCCTCCTCCTCCTCCTCCTCCTCCTCCTCCTCCTCCTCCTCGTCCTCCTCCTCCTCCTCCTCCTCGTCCGCCTCCTCGCGATCCGTCTGGCCCCTATGGGCCGCCAGGCATAGGAGAAAACCGAAACCCCGACACAAACTGAATCCATAGTTTCTCTGATGTACCCATTTCGGGCTTCCAAACATAAGCGGAGTCCGAGGTCGAGTCGGGTCGGAAGCGGACTCGGAGGCGGAGTCGGACCGGATCGGTGCGGAGGAGGCGAGACGAGCCCTGCCTCTCCTGCAGAGCATGGACCGACCGTCCCGGCATTCCTATAGTCCTACCACGGAATGTTCTTAGAACCCAAACATGTTCTAAGAACAAAAACCATGTTCTTGAAACATACACCTGGTGTGTTAACACAAGACAGCCCCAACCAGGAATGTTCTGAGAACACTCCGCGAAAACCACAAAAAAGGTTCTTGGCACATTGTTCGGTAGGGCCATAGGCGAGCCGGGACGCTTCGCCACTGCTTGATCCTGGGTGGAGCTGCCTAAAACAGGGCTAGGATCGGGATAAATCGCTCCAGAGCGTTCCGGAGCGCTCTCAGAGCGTTCCGGAACGCTCTGGAGCGGCCGCGGCGCCCAATACATCCTCCAAACCCGCCGATTCTCAGAGATTTCGAGTTATCCCGATCCGATTTTGTCCCGATCTTCGCGTCGTTTGACTGCCCCCCTCGGCCTCGCTGCGGTCGTAGCCCATGAAGGTGAGCCGGCGCTCCGGGGGGAGCAGGGGCACCTGCGGCGCTCTTTTTTGTCCCAGAGGCTCCCTCGCGAAGGGCTGAGTGACGTCTGCCGTCCCTCGGCCCGCGCTGGAGCGGCCACGGTTTTTGCTCCAAACGTCCTTGGAAATCCCTGGAGCGACCTGGATTTCTCTGGATGGGCCTCGATTTATCTGCATGTGCTTTAAGCTTGTCCAGCAGAATCCCCACAGGTCGACTGACGGGAAGTCATCGAGCCCTCAGGGAAGAGCCTCACCTCCTCCTGGGCCTGCTCCTCCTGGGCCATCCCCGCCTTCTGCCCTCCTTATTGACCCCCCCTCCTTCCCCTCCTTCTTCTCCCCATTCTCCCCAGTCTACCCTTCCTCCCCCTTCCCCTCCCCCTCCCCCTCCCCCTCCCTTCCTTTACCCCTCCCCCTCCCACTCCCCCTCCCTCCCCCCTCCCCTTCCTCTCTCCTCCTTTACCCTTCCTTTCCCCTCCCTCTCCCCTCCTCCTCCCTCCCTCTCCCTCTCCCCTCTTTTACCCTTCCTTTCCCACCTCCCCCTCGCCCTTCCCCGTCTTCCTCCTCGGTCTCGTCCACTGCTTTTCCTTACAAGCAACTCCTGGTCGCGCCATCGGGTGTGTCCGTAGGACGGGCCTGGCTTTTCGTCTGATGCATCCGCATCTGTTAGCTTGGCAACCCAGCAACTAAGCGGATGCAGGCCAGAAGACGTTCAGAATGCGGCTCTCTCCTGGGTGCCGCACGCACTCGTCGCAAAAGCTTCGACCTGCTGCACGGATGTGGTTCTCGCCCAGAAACCGCACGCAATCGCATTCTAAATGTCCGACCACTACACGGATGAAGGACGAACCCGTACACAAATTCGGATATCACCCTAGCACCGCGCACATCGAAAAACATATATACCTGCTATGCGGCCGGAAGGCTGTCCGTTGTCAGCATGTGGTTATTGCCTCAGCACCGCGCACATTCGTCGCAAGAGCTTCGCAAGGCTGAGCGGATGGAGGGCAAGTCGTCCTACATGAGTGCACATCGCCGCAGCGCCGGGCACGCTCGTCTTAGAAGCTTCTGCCTGCTACGCGGACGGAAGGCGGTTCCTTTTCCAACAGGGCGGATCCGTGTCAGGACAAGGCTCTCGACTGGAACGCACGTCCGGGGACCCTCTGCCCGTCCAGGGAGAACGTGCAACGCCGAAAGGGCGTCTTGGGGCGGGAGGGCACAGGAGGTGTAGAGAGAGTGGGCTCGGGACGGGAGGGTACACTGCAGCATCGCTGGTGCGTCCTCAAGGGCTCCCAGCTTCGCGCTTCGCGCTGCGCGAAGCGCGAAGTGCGAACAACTTCGCGCTCTCGCGCCGCCTCCCAGGGGAGAAGGGGAGGAAGAGGAGGAATCGGAGCCGAACCGCGAAGCGCGAAGCGCGAATAACTTCGCGCCCTCGAGGGCGCCCTTGGTCCTCGTCCTCCCCCATCCCTTCACCTCCCCACCCCTCCCGCATCCCCCAATCCCCCCGTTCCCTTCCGTGGCCCTCGCTCCGCAATTCTCCCTCCTCCCTTCTCATCCCTCCCCACCCTGCCCCTCACCCTGGCGCCTGGGGCGCGCCCTGGAAGCTCGCCTCATCCAGGTGATAGGGCAGGATGGCGTCGTCAAAGTTGCCCTCCCGCGGAAGTCCCTCCACCTGCGGCGGCAGAGGGGGAGGAGTGGGGGTACGATCTAGGATGGATCTAGCTCTACGACGAGTCAGATGCCAGGAAGGCCAACTCGAGCTCGAGCGAGGGCGCACGACGACCTGCACCGAGGACGTCTCAGGGCGACTGGGCAACACGACTGGAGGAACATTTGGCCTCTTCACGCACGGGCTAACTCCAGCAACGTAACTTGCTGGTGAGAGCCCGGATGTGGGAACTGATGACGTGCGCCCTGGCTGAGGTCCAGGAGGGGGGGGAGAGAGGGAGAGAGGGAGGACGAGGAGGACCCTCTGGACTCATGCGCGGGGGGCGGGCACCGATGTCGCTCTGAGGCCGCTGCTGCAGGGGGGGCCCTGCCTCGGATACTCCAAGGCGAGCGCCCCGAGATCGGAGGCCTCGCGACGCACCGCGCCCGCATGATGCATGGCATGTGTAGGGGAACGAAGACGGGCATAAGCATAAAAACTCAGAGGCCCGCGCGGATTTCTCGGATCCGCGCTGGACCCCCCTTTCCCTGGCGCGCGGAGCGCGCCAAGGCGCCGGAGGCGCCGCCAGGGGGTCCAGCGCGGAGCCGAGAACTCCGCGCGGACCTCTGAGTTTTTATGCTTATGCCCGTCTTCGTTCCCCTACACATGCCATGCATCATGCGGGCGCGGTGCGTCGCGAGGCCTCCGATCTCGGGGCGCTCGCCTTGGAGTATCCGAATCTTTATGTTTATGCCATCCTTCGTGCCCCAACGCGCGGCGATGGGGGGCCATCGCTGGCCCTGACCGAGGTGCGCGCGCGCGCGCCCCCCTCCCCCTCCTCCTCCTCCTCCTCCTCATCCTCCTCCTCCTCCTCCTCCCTCCTCCTCCTCCTCCCCCTCCTCCCCCTCCTCCTCCTCCTCCTCCTCCTCCTCCTCCCCCTCCTCCTCCTCCTCCTTCGGCCACACGCCAGGGCGGCCCATGGGCGAGCGCGGCCTCTGGTGCGCGGCCTGCCGGCGCGGTCTGCGTGCGGTGCGACGGCAGCGGCCTGCGCGGCTGGGCTCGGCCCCTCCGCGCCGACGAAAGCCGCGCCGTGCCCTCCCGCTGCTCCTTCTTCCGCTCTTCCTCCTCCCCCTCCCCTCCTCCTCCTCCTCCTCCTCCTCCTCCTCCTCCTCCTCCTCCTCCTCCTCCTCCTCCTCCCCTCCTCCTCCTCCTCCTCCTCCTCCTCCTCCTCCTCCTCTCCCCTCTCTCCTCCTCCTCCTCCTCCTCCCCCTCCTCCCCCTCCTCCCCTCCTCCTCCCCCCTCCTACCTCCTCCTCCCCCCCCCCTCCTCCTCCTCCTCCTCCCTCGCCTCCTCTCTCCTCCTCCTCCTCCTCCTCTTCCTCCTCCTCCCCCTCCTCCCCCTCGTCCTCCATCTTCTCCTCCTCCTCCTCCTCCTCCTCCTCCTCCTCCTCCTCCTCCTCTGCCGAGGCGCGGGCCCCTCATGCGCTGATCCCTGATGCGGGAACTACGACCCGTCATACATTGACCCCTTCATGGTTGGGCTTGGACCCAGCACGTGTTGACCCCCTCATATTGGGGCTGCGCCGTCACACGCGTAGTTATGAGGGTCAGCCACCCTAAAGGCTGTGCAATCCGACAGCATCCTCCTCCTCCTCCTCCTCCTCCTCCTTTTCCTCCCCCTCCCCTCAGACCTGCCGTCGCAAAAAAAAACATCGCAACAAAAATACAACCAAACCCCTTGGCCCCCACTTTCTGCGGCATCTTTCTAGCCGGATCGATCTCAGAGGGCCCGGGTGCCCGAAACTGGGCGAAAACGCTCGGTGTTGAAAAATTGTCACGCCCGGATCTGAAGGTCCTCCCCCTCAGTTTCCATCTCCACCTCCACCTCCTCCTCCTCCTCCTCCTCCTCCTCCTCCTCCTCCTCCTCCTCCTCCTCCTCCCCCGCTGCTGTTAACAGGGGATCTGTCGACCTCTATCCCAGGCTTCGTAGGATTTTCGCATGGGCCAGACATGTTGGGCCCTTTTCCTGGGAAATGCGATGGGGGCGCAGTCATCATCGATAGGGGTGCGTCCGAATAGCCCCCTTGGGGGGTGTATCCCAAGGCCCCCCTCCTTTCCTGAGCGGCATCGTTTTTCGCCTAAAAAGCGGGGGCGGGGGGAGAAACATCCTCTGCGGGCTGTGATCAGGGACTGGGCTGGCCCCTGCCGAACTGCGGGCGTGCCCCCTGCAGCCTCACCTCGCGGCGCAGCCCCGTCGCCCCGCCCTCCATCGACCCCCCCGTCGCCCTGCCCCCCATCAGCCCCGAACCCCGCCCCGCATCAGCCCCGGGCCCAGCGCTTCGGCCCCCCCGTCGCCCCGCCCCTCATCGGGGGCGGCCAGGAGGGAGGTTTCCAGGCGGGGATCGCCCTGAACAGTGCTTTTCGGTTTCGTGTTGCTTTCGTTGTCCCTCGCCTTGTCATCGATGCGCGTCCTCTGCAAAGACGAAATCGAAACGAAAACGGCCAACGAAATCCAGGAATGGAGTTCACTGGTCCTGGGCCAAGGCACGTGCGCGGACGAGAAAGGAAACGCAGAGCGCATTGAAACAAAAAGGATGGCCACGATACCTGGAGAGATTTCGTGGCCCCCGCCGGGACATCCCCCCGTAAAACCAACATTTGGTTATACAGCACGATGTGTTGTTGATTGTGTGGTTTCGCCTACGAAGTTCCTTCCTAAAAGTACGGCTTGCGAGAAAGGGTTCGCAAATAGTGCACCATATATATATGTATATATATATATATACATGTATGGTAGGGGGGGCTCCCAAGATCCCCCTTCGAGCTTTTCTTGTTCTTCTTCATCTTCTTTTTCGTCTTGCGTTGTTTCTTATGTTGCTTTTTGGCAGAAGCCAAAGACAATAACAATTTGCCTATTGAAAGCCACTGGTTTTTCAACGTCTCCAATGGAAAACTATTGAAAACCATTGGTTTTGTTGTTTTTGTTTGGTTTGGAGGTGGATTCGGCGCTGGGTGAGCGAGGGCGCCGAAAACCAACAAAAACAGGAAAATCAGTCAAAACCAAATGAAAAACAAGAAAATCAGAGCACCCAGGCAACAAAATCAAAAAAAGCAAGGTCCCGAATGGTTTTGCAAGCCTCCACAAAAAGGAATCTTATTGTAATCCTCCACAAAAGGAGTTCTAATGAAATCCTCACAAAAGGAATCCTGTTGTAATCCTCCACAATGGGAAATCCGATTGTAATCCTCCACAAAAGGAATCCTAATGAAATCCTCACAAAAAGGAATCTTATTGTAATCCTCCACAAAGGGAATTCTATTGTAATCCTCCACAATAGGATTCCCTTGATGGAGGATTACTATAGGATTTCTTTTGTGAGGATTTCATTAGGATTCCCTTCGTGGAGGATTACAAAAGGACTCCCTGTGTGGAGGATTACACTAGGATTCCTTTTGTGAGGATTACATTAGGATTCCTTTCGTAGAGGATTACAATAGGATTCCTGTTGGGGAGAATTGCAAAAACAATTCGGGGCTCTGGTTTCGTTGATTTTGTTGCCTGGGTGCTCTGAGTGTCATGTTGTTCTTTTGGTTTTGACTGATTTTCATGTTTTTGTTGGTTTCTGCTCCCCCGCGCCCCCTCTGGGGGTGAGGTGGAGGCGGCGCTCAAAACCAAAGGAAAAACATGAAAATCAGAGCACTCAGGCAACAAAATCAACGAAATCAAAGTCCCGAATGGGTTTGCAATCCTCCACAAAAGGAATCCTATTGCAATCCTCCACAAAAGGAATTCTAATGAAATTCCCACAAAAGGAATCCTATTGTAATCCTCCACAAAGGGAATCCTTTTGTAATCCTCCACAGAAGGAATCCTAATGAAATCTTCACAAAAGGATTCCGATTGTAATCCTCCACACAGGGAATCCTTTTGTAATCCTCCACAAAAGGAATCCTAATGAAATCCTCACCAAAGGAATCCTAGTGTAACCTTCACAAAAGGAATCCTAATGTAATCATCCACAAAAGGAATCCTGGTGTGTGTGTGGCGCTGATTTCGTTGATTTTGTTGCCTGGGTGCTCTGATTGTCATGTTTTTCCTTTGGTGTTGACTGATGTTCCTGCTGTTGTTGGTTTCTGCTCTCCCGCGCCCCCTCTGGGGGCGAGGTGGAGGCGGCGCTGGGGGAGCGAGGGCGCCGAAAACCAACAAAAACAGGAAAATCAGTCAAAACCAAATGAAAAACAAGAAACTCAGAGCACCCAGGCAACAAAATCAAAAAAATCAAGGTCCCGAATGGTTTTGCAAGCCTCCACAAAAGGAATCGTATTGTAATCCTCCACAAAAGGAGTCCTAATGAAATCCTCACAAAAGGAATACATGTGGAACTTTGCTACAAAAGGATTCCATCGATACGGAGCCGAATGGAAGCCAATAGGGAGATGAGAAGGAGCCAGGAGGGAGCCAAAGGGATCCAGGCAGAGCTTGCTGAAGGTATTGAAAAAAGGGGGGTTGCTAGCGCTTACCGCTGCCCATGAGGGCTTCTTGAGGCTGTGAAAAGGGGGAAATTACGTGCATTTGTTTGTTAATTGTTGCGGGGGGGCGGAGCGCACAAACATGAAGTTCTGGGGCGCTTGGCGCAGTATCTTGTTTCTTTTTGTCCCCTTTTGTCCTGTTTGTTCCATTCTGTCTCCTTGTGTCATTCTTGTGTGGCCTTTGTCCCTTGTGTCCCCTCTTGTCCCCTTTGTTCCCTTTGTCCCTTTTTATTCCCCTTCTCCCTTTTTGTCCCCTTTTGTCCCCTTTGTCCCCTGTGTCCCCTTTGTCCCCTTTCTTCATGTTTGTCCCATTTGTTATCTTTTGTCCCCTTTGTCTCTTGTGTCCCCTCTTGTTCCCTTTGTCCCTTTTTATTTCCCTTGTCCCTTTTTGTCCCCTTTTCTCCCCTTTGTCCCCTTTGTTTCTGTTTGTCCCCTTTGTTAGCTTTTGTCCCCTGTGCCCCTCAGGACGCTTGTTGTAGATTCTCCAGGGCTTAA